CAGTCTGTAGCCTAGCCTGTTGTCGCATTCTTACAGAAATACCACACATATTTGAAACTAAAACATATCCTTTTATTAGCAATAAATGTGCCAGGTGGTGACCCTGATTTTAGATAAGCTTATGGAAACACATCCTGATTATTATAGGCAGCGTGAGTCACATGTGAAGCAGAATGCACTCCAAGGTTTAGTTAAGATGAAATGAAAACAAAACTTATATAAAGATATATGCCATGCAAAAAGAAAAAAGAAAAAGAAAAGCGGTTGATGTCTGGTGCTGTTTGAAAAGAAAATTAATTTCAGCTTCTCTCTGATGAACAGGGCAAACAAACTTTACCTGATGTCTCTGGCAGAAAGACATCTGAGTCTGAGTCATTCACCAGAAAAGGTGGAGATGGAGGGTTTGAAAAGAAGATAGAGGCAAGGTCTGACAAGAACAGGTGGAAATAATCAAGCCAACAATAAAGCAAGTCATTTAAAAGAAAAATGTAAAGAATAACATTATAATAAAACAATAAAAGGAGAAAGTAAATGGACAAAAAATAAAAACACACAATAAAATCCATGACCACAAAATAAACAGACACGTGCCATATATATTGGCATTAAAAAAAATAAAATAAAACCCTTTAAACACTTCTCAGATTACACTTGTTTGATGTGTGATGTGTGCATATTGGGTTGGTAATACCACTGCAGTGTACACACAGAGATTTAACATGCTGAAAGCTGGGACTTAATTCCCGTCAGCGTATCCTAATCAGGGCACTTTTTGATGCTATTTTGACTTTAAAGCCAAGACCTTTGACAGTAACAAGATTCTGTTTGACAACATACGTGCCAGCGAGCTTTATAGCTGACCCTTTGACCCCAACTAGGTGCCAATTAACTGTGGATTATGCTTAACCTAGGCAATGGGTCAATGACAGTGTCACTCTCTTTAAACATTGGTGTTGCACATGTAAATCCATGAGAAACAAGTTAAATGTTGGTGAATGTGGTGATGTTAAATGCACTCAAATTTCTTGCGGAAGGGTGGAGTGACTGTTTGATTTGTAGAAAATGGTGAAAAATTACACCGGGAAAATGCAAAGTGGGGAAAAAAGCCTACAAACTCTAATAATTTGGTAATTTTAGGCTTCTGTTTCTGGACTAAACTAAAGGAGAGGCTTCAAATTCAGTAGCTCGGAAGAAAAAACAGAGTGACAAGTTAATGAGTAAAAACCTGAACTGTTGTAGCATAGCTGCTTGTTGAAGTTAGACTACTCAGATTTTCATGTAACCGTATTTGAAAAGCATTCTCAGTCTGCAGCAGGCCCTGGGTTAATTGCATGCAGTTTTACTAAGAGGATTGGCATTTCTCTAATTGAAATAACAGTCAACTGCAACTTTTTTACGTTCGTTATAAAATTATAATATGTTTTATTTTTTATTATGGAAATAAGGCAGTGATAGTCATATGAAGCCAGACCCCACCCCACACGGTGCCCGCTGGACAGTCAACCACTGGAACA